TGGATAATTTTTGTATTTTTAGCAGAGACAGGGTTTCACCATGTTGGTCAGGCTGGTCTCAAACTCCTGACCTTACGTGTGATCCACCTACCTTGGCCTCCCTAAGTGCTGGGTTACAGGTGTGAGCCACTGCACCCAGCCCTTCCTGAGGCTCTTAAATCCTCCTGGAGTGGTGGAGGACAGGATGATATCCTTACTGAACCACACTGTCTCCCCTGGTCCCCAGCTCCTGTGCTCCCTGGATAACAGTCCACCCATATTGCAGGGACTGTGAGGATCTGGCTTATTAGATTGCAGTGGCTGCTTTTTTTTTTTTTTTTAAAGACTAGCCAAGTGCAGCAGTGAGAAGCGGGGAAAGAGTAGAACAAGGAGTTTGATCTGTAACTGACTGTCAACAATCAGTTGAGATAACTCACTACCTTCACACCAGCCAGCTTCAGCTTCTTAAGAGTCAGGGTCTTGCTCTGTAGCTCAGGCTGGAGTGCAGTGGTACGACCGTAGCTCACTGATCACTCCAACTCCCGGGCCTGAGCGATCCTCCCACCTCAGCCTCCTGAGGAGCTGGGACTACGGGCGCTCTGCCGCAGCCTGCAGCGGCTTCCTAACGAGGACCTCTGAAGGGCTGCCTCCTTGTTCTTAGCACCAGAAATCAGGGGCTTCAGCAGAACAAGCGAAATGGTGTGGCGGCTGCTGCAAAGCCTGGAGTCCAACGCATGGCCTGTATCCTGCAAGCTACGTCTTCACGACACGTGCCACTCCTGGCTCTGTAATTTTCCTGTCACTCACTTTTTCTTATTTTTAACAGATCCTCCTTGCAACGTTGTTTGCATGTCGGTTAAGTGGCCACTGAATCCCTTCTGGAACTAGGCAGGGAGACAATCAGTAGACTGACTGATATAAGACAGAATGAAATGATAGTCACTGCCTTTCACTGAGTACTTCCTATGTGCCATGGATGACCCTAGACATTGTCTTTTTTTTTTTCTTTGAGATGGAGTTTCACTCTTGTTACCCAGGCTGGAGTGCAATGGCGCGATCTCGGCTCACCGCAACCTCCGCCTCCTGGGTTCAGGCAATTCTCCTGCCCCAGCCTCCTAAGTAGCTGGGATTACAGGCACGCGCCACCATGCCCAGCTAATTTTTTGTAGTTTTAGTAGAGACGGGGTTTCACCATGTTGACCAGGTTGGTCTCGATCTCTTGACCTCGTGATCCACCGGCCTCGGCCTCCCAAAGTGCTGGGATTACAGGCGTGAGCCACCGTGCCCAGCCCCCAACATTGTCTTTTTAAGATGGAGTTTCACTTGTCACCCAGGCTGCAATGCAATGACACGATCTTGGCTCACTGCAACCTCCGCCTCCCGGGTGCCAATGATTCTCCTGCCTCAGCCTCCCGAGTAGCTGGGATTACAGGCACGTGCCACTAACATTTGGCTCATTTTTGTATTTTTAGCAGAGTGAGGTTTTACCATGTTGGGCAGGCTGGTCTTGAATTCCTGACCTCAAATGATCCACCAGCCTTAGCCTCCCAAAGTGCTGGGAATACATGTGAGCCACCGTGCCAGGCCTCTTACTGTTAAAGACTTTTTAAAAAACTGAACTATGACATATAGGTAGAAAAGTACACACATCACAGCTTGATGAAAAGTCTACAGCCTGAATGCATCCAGCTCCCAGATGAAGAAATGAGACATTCCCAAGTCCTCAGAAGCCCCCACTTGTTCCCTCCAGCCTCTTCTGGCCCCAAGGGTCACTGCTGCCCTGACTGACACTGTGGATTTGCTGGATCTACTTGTGCTTCATGTTCAAGAACGCCTATAGTCCAGGCTTTTTTGGTGTCAGATTTCCTTTCCTTAACATTATGTTTGCCTTTGATCTTCAGAAGATGATACTTTCACCAGGTGTGGTGGCTCATGCCTGTGATCCCAGCACTTTAGGAGGCCAAGGCAGGCAGATCACCTGAGGTCAGGAGATTGAGACCAGCCTGGCCAACATGGGAAAACCTTGTCTCTACTGAAAATACAAAAATTAGCCAGGCCTAATGGAAGGCGCCTGAAATTCCAGCTACTCGGGAGTCTGAGGCAGGAGAACAGCTTGAATCCAGGAGGCAAAAGTTGCAGTGAGCCGAGATCATGCCACTGTACTAAAAAATAAAAACTCCAAAAAACAAAAAAACACGAATACATAAAAACAAAAAGATGACACTTTGACTTAGATATCTGGCCCTAAATGAAGCAATCAGCATGTTTCTCCCAGAGTCTGAATTTAATCTGAATTTTATCAAAGGGCTGTGCTGTTAGAACCCACTGGCTCTGCATGCTGGCCTCACACCCCGGGCAAGAGGAGAGCTATGGGGAACGGCGCTGTCTAACAAGGTGTTCATGGAGAGGGGAGACCTCCCTCTCATGCAGGGTCCCTTTGGCTGGATGCTCTGAGACCCTGCTCTCAGCAATGCTATATAAAAATACAGCATTTTATTTTTATTTTTCATTTTTTAGAGACAGATTCTTACTCCATCATCCAGGCTGGAGGGCAGTGGTATAATCATGGCTCTCTGCAGCCTTGAACTCCTGGGCGCAAGCGATTCTCCTGCCTCAGCCCTCCAAGTAGCTGGGACTACAGATGCACATCACTGCGGTAAGTGATGCTGTATTTTTCAGATCACAGATTCCCACATGCTTGAGACAGAACGTGTTTCATTCCTGTATGCTTGCTGGGGGGCTCACAGCTGATCTGCAGCCCATTCCTACAAGTACCCCGCGCCTCACCACGTGGTCACGACATGCCTCATGGATATCGATCTCATCCCTGCATCCTCCTCCTCCTCCTGCCTCCACCAGCTCTATTAAGGTGTAACTGACAAATAAAAAGTGTGTATATTTGCAGTACCCAAGGTGATGCTTTGGTAGATGCATACATTGTGAAATGACTAAATCAAGCTAATTAACGTATGCATCATCTCATACACTTATCTTTTGTGTGTGCGTGGTGAGAACAGGAGTAGCTAGGACCACAGGTGCAAGCCACTGCACCCAGCCACGGTGCGAACATTTAGGGTCTCATCTCTTGGCAATTTCAGGTATGCAATGATGCACGATCATTAACTGTATCACCACATTGTACAACAGTTCTTCAGAAGTTATGCATCCTGACTGACTTGCATTCATCTTGGTTTTTAAACCCGTTTACCACCTCCCCTATGGATGTTTTTTATCCAATTGAATAGCAACTGGCTCAAACTCTCAGGAAGGTGGAAGCAGGGTACACACAAACAGATACATGTTGAAAACTACTGCTATTAGACCACACGACCTCTGGTACTGGGTTTTGGAATCAACACCCAACCAGTGGTGTCTCAGAATGGGGCTTCACAAACCTTAATGTGGACTCATACCATCTGGGGATCTTGCTAGGGCACTGACTTTGAGTGAGTAGGTTTGAGACGGGCCTGAGGTGCTGTGTTTTTAAGCAAGTCCAATGCTGCTGGTTCTTTTTTTTTTTTTTGAGATGGAGTTTGACTCTGTCACCCAGGCTGGAGGGCAGTGGGGCTATCTCGGCTCACTGCAATCTCCGCCTCCTGGGTTCAAGTGATCCTCCTGCCTCAGCCTCCTGAGTAGCTGGGATAACAGGTGTGCACCACCATGCCCGGCTAATTTTTGTATTTAATTTAGTAGAGATGGAGTTTCATCATGTTGACCAGGCTTGTCTTGAACTCCCGACCTCAGGTGATCTGCCTGCCTGGGCCTCCCAAAGTGCTGGGATTGCAGGCGTGAGTCACCGTACCCAGCCAAAAATCATGAAGAACCTTTACATTTCCAGAACCGTTTCTGCCTCAGGTTTCTCACTATCACCTTGTTAATTCCATCTGATGGCATACAATCCTCATTCCCAAAGAGACAAACAAAGCCAAAATGACAGATTTCTGGGATGACGGAACAGGGACCGCCTAGGAGATCTATTTCCACCAGCTCTTAACTAGAATGTGTTTTGTTACCTAGCATTTCCCTACCCATCAGTTAAGATTGGTTACTTACTTCATCGGGGAGCTCAAGGATAGTAATATTTTTGGAACGAAATGTGATTTCAAAAGTGATCACCAGGGTTGCATTTAATGGTGGCCTGTGGAGGACAAGAGTCTAATTACTGCTGAGAAGCAGGGGCAGTGAGAGCTCAACCAACCCTCTGGATTTCACATCTGGCCTTCCAATCTCATGCAATCGGGTTTAGGAAATGCTACATGCTCCACCCGAGGGGTAGCCGGGTGGAAATCCTGCTCCACAGGCTTTCCTGTCTTAACCAGGAGACCAGATGTCCGTCCCTTCAGGGTAGGGTGAGAACACAGAAGAAAGCAAACGGGGTGTAATGACAAATGAGGCCTCTGGAGGCCGGGGACTGTGGCTCCCTGCTCCGGTGGGAAAGGCTTCCCGGGGGGTGTGGGTTCCTAGCAGGGCCCTGTGTGAGGACCAGCATTAGACTGGAGGAGGAGAGGGCTCAGGCAAGGCGTGAGGAGGGAGCAGTGCGTGCCTGGAAAGCTGGGATAGACATCTGACTGCAGAAGGCTGGGAGCCCTTCCTGGGCCCCGGCTCTGGGGTGAGGAGCTTGGAGTTAATTTGGAAGACAGCGGGAGGCCTCTCGGCGGTCTGGAGAGTTGTGGTAAGAGGGTGACTTGTGACGTTTGCAGGGGAGGAGGTGCAGAGACAGGAGGAGGTAGGGGTGGGAAGGGCAGGCTAGCTAGGGGTTTGGTTTCAGGTCAGACTTGGCAGGAGGCGAGGCAGGGGGAGAGGCATAGAGAGAGGACAGGACTCTAGGTCTTCATCAGGGAATCCTCACAGCCGGGAGGCAAGGACAGGGCAAAGCAGCTGAGAGCAGAGAAGGCAGAGGCAGTCTCCTGGTGCCGACCGGCCTAGGTCGCGATGCTTGTGCCCCAGCCAGCAGAAAGCAGCGTGTGAGACTCCCACACCAGGCCCAGTGTGAGCGGCGTCACCCGACGCGGCCACTTCTGCTTTGGAGAGCAACCTCAGAAGTGCCGTCCAGCAGCTCAGCCCCCTATCCCTTGACCTTTAGGAATCTCTTCTAACGTTTAGTCTTACAATCGCTTTGAAGTCTGGCATCAACTGCGGGTCACGCAGGACTCTTCCCACGCTGGGAAAGGACCCACGTGTCTGGGAAAAGCGCCCCTTCCTTCTCCTCCCAGGGGAAGTGAAGATTCAGGCTGGGGTCAGCCTTTGCGATCGCACCCTGCGGCCCAGAGCTGCCACTATCCCTTTCTCTATGGCTTGTCTCACAGGTAAGAGGCAAGAGCAGCACATCTGAAATCGGAACAGACTGGCCAGGGGTCAACCCTGACCCAGCTGCGGGGTCTGAGCAGGGCTGAGCGCAGCGCCAGGCCTGGGAACTTACCGCAGGGCGACACTGACGTTGGTTGAGCTGCCATTTTCCAGCTTTACAACGGGAGGAACGGTGAGGCTGACGGTTGACTCTGGAAGGACCCAAATCAGTGACATGAGGCGCCAGGTCAGAGCTTGGGCCATGACAGGACACTGGGGTGAAATCCCCGACATCTGAACGCCTGAGCGCGGACTCCCTGATGAGCCCTATTCCGTGATGGGCCCTATTCCGTGATGGGCCGGCTAACACAGGCCCTGGTGAGGTTCTTTCCCCACCTGCTGCCAGAGACAGGCAGAAGCACTCCAGCTGGGGCAACAGAGTGAGACTGTGTCCCAAAAAAAAAAAAAATTTGTTTTGTAGAGATGGGGTCTTAGTATGTCACTCAGGCTGATGTCAAACTCCTGTGCCCAAGTGATCCTCCCTCTTTGGCCTCTCAAAGTGTTGGGATTACAGGTGTGAGGAAATGCCGGGGCCACCTCCTCCCCTTGCAAGGACAGGCTCTGAGAGTCTGCGGCTGAGTTACTCAGAGATCGTTAGAGAACATGGAGCCCCAGAATCACCACAAAGGAATCCACGCATGATCTGGAATGTAAAAGGCAGCCCTGAACCACCTCTTCAGATGGAAAGCGCAGGATCTCCTCTGCTCATGATGTCAAAATGGCCCTGAAGAACCGGGCCAACCCCTTTCCTGCACGCTCAGACACACACACGGGCCCAGCTAATGAGTTTCTAAGGAACCCTCTGGGCTCCCTGACTCACCCAGCTCCCCGGCTCTGGACCCTTCCTGAGGCTATCTGTGTGCGGGCTGGAGAAGGAAGGGTGAATGAATAGCTGTTTCAGTCTCAGGTTTCTTCTTGGCGGCCGGGCGCGGTGGCTCTGGCCTGTAATCCTAGCACTTTGGGAGGCCGAGGTGGGTGGATCACCTGAGGTCAGGAGTTCAAGACCAGCCTGGCCATCATGGTGAAACCCCATCTTTTTTTTTAAAAAAAAAAAAAAAGATCTCTTCTTGGCTTTAAGGTGTTATCTCAGAATAAAGATGACAAACAGGCCCCCAGATGAGGGGGAAGCAGGTCTGGGGCTTAGAGAACCATCCTGGGGCCGGGCACGGTGGCTCAGGCTTATAAACCCAGCACTTTGGAAGACCAAGGTGAGAGATCACGGGAGCCCAGGGGTTGGGAGACCCTGTCCCTACAAAAGATTTTCTTAAAAAAAGAAAGCAAATCATCTTTTGAGGCCAGCTCGCCCAGAGCACCTTGGTGGCAGGACTGAGTCAGCCTCTCTGTCCTTCCTGTATTCTTAGGGCAGCCCCGTCCCCACCCCTGCTCCCCAGCGTGCTGGAGGCCCCACAACACACCTGCCCATCTCACCTCCCCCACCTGCCCGCCTTCAGGGTTACACACAGCCTAGAGGTCATGATCATGATCCAGGCCGAGCGGGGAAGCAGGCGCAGGGCTGTGATGAAGAGGATACCTGTCACGGCAGAGGCTGCTAGCAGGCCCGGCTGTCGCCCACCCAGACCCCTGCACTCAGACCCCTCAAAGGCAGATGAGTTGGGATCTGAAATTTTACATGCTTGGGTTGGAAGGAAACTTTTTTTTCCCCAAGACAGAGTCTTGCTCTGTCGCCCAGGTTGGAGTGCAGTGGCACGATCTTTGCTCACTGCAAACTCCGCCTCCTGGGTTCAAGTGATTCTCCTGTCTCAGCCTCCCCAGTAGCTGCGATTACAGGCATGCAGCATCACACTGGCTAATTTTTGTATTTTTGGTAGAGGCGGGATTTCACCATGTTGGCCAGGCTGGTCTCCAACTCCTGACCTCAGGTGATCTGCCCGCCTCTGCCTCCTTTGGGAGGCTGTGCCCAGCCCAGAAGGAAACTTAAGTTACCCAGTTCGACCTCTGATTCTCCGCCTCAATATTCCTACTTGGTAGTTTCTCTTCTGTAACCCGATCTCCTCTGAGATCACAGGCTGCAACTTGCCCTCCCAGGCCAGGCTCTGCTACACGGAGCCTCTCAGACTCTAAGAGCTGCCTTCTCTGTACTCAGCACACCGGAATGCAGATGCAAGCTCGGTCCCAAGCCTGCAGGTCCCTAGGTGGAGACTCCCACAGGCCCCCATCTCCAGCTGGCTGGGCTCCTCAGAACATGATGCCCTCTGGCCCTTGCGGAAGCCAAGCTGCTATAGGGGCAAAAGGCAGGCCGTTCCTCACGTGGAGCCTCAGGGCCTGGAGGCTGCTGTGGCAACCCTACCCTTCTTTTTCAGGCTCACTGCTCTGAGGTCATTCCGAGGCTTTCTTAGGGGCTTGCATAGCTGGGGTGGTGCAGGACTTCCTGTACTGCCAGTTCAGTTCTGCCCAGAGCTGAGGACCGTGCCAGATAAGCCAGCCCAGAACCAGCCACTGCTCAGGACGGGATGCTGAAAGGGATGCCAGGCAGCCAACCAGACCTCTGGATCCCGAGGGCTCTGCTGGAGGCAGTGGAGGTCTGGGTGAGCAGGAGATCCACATGGCCACAGAGCTCCTACGATCTGTGCATTATAAAACAGGAGGTTGTGGGCAGTGGTTCACACCTGTAATCCCAGCACTTTGGGAGGCTGAGGCAGGTGGATCACCTGAGGTCAGGAGTTTGAGTCCAGACTGGCCAACATGGCAAAACCCCATCTCTACTAAAAATACAAAAAATTAGCCAGGCCTGGTTGCAGGTGCCTGCAATCCCAGCTACCGCAGAGGCTGAGGCAGGAGAATCGCTTGAACCCAGGAGGTGGAGGTTGCAGTCAGCCAAGATCACACCACTGCACTCCAGCCTGGGAGACAGAGCGAGACTCTGTCTCAACAACAAAATAAAATACAGTAAGAGTTTGTGAACTCTCCAAGAACCAGATCAGAGAATGTTCATTTCCCCCTTCTTTAGCACCACAGAAAACTGAGGTGCTCAGCAACTGAGATACTGGGCTCCAAAGTCACACAGTTCCATCCTGGCTCTGACACTTCCTAGCTGTGTGACCAAGGGTAAGGTACTTACCCTCCCTGAGCCTCCATTTCCTTATCTGTAAAATGGGGAGACTACCAAGCCCTATCTCAGAGTCACTGTGAAGACAAGATGCAGCAATGCTGGTAACGTGTTTTCCGCAGCCCCGATGCTAAATAATGTTGCCATTATTATCGTCACATGACCACTGCAGGGCATTCTTTTTTTTTTTTTTTTGAGACGGAGTTTCACTCATGTTACCTAGGCTGGAGTGCAATGGCGCGATCTTGGCTCACCGCAACCTCCGCCTCCTGGGTTCAGGCAATTCCCCTGCCTCAGCCTCCTGAGTAGTTGGGATTACAGGCACGCACCACCATGCCCAGCTAATTTTTTGTATTTTTAGTAGAGACGGGGTTTCACCATGTTGACCAGGATGGTCTTGATCTCTTGACCTCGTGATCCACCAGCCTCGGCCTCCCAAAGTGCTGGGATTACAGGCTTGAGCCACCGCGTCCGGCCTGCAGGGCATTCTTACAAGGTGGGAGGCAGTTAGGAAGCTGGCCCCAGAAACTCTGAAATCTTCACATTGTAGCAGAATTACAAAATGAGTCATGACGCCATCCTAAGTTCCCCCTAAAGAGAATCTGTTTTTCGTTTTTTTTTTTTTTTGAGACAGGTCTGGCTCTGTTACCCAGGCTGGAATCCAGTGGTGACCTGGAATGATCATGGCTCACTGCAGCCTCGACCTCCCAGGCTCAAGTGATCCTCCCACCTCAGCCACCCAAGTAGCTAGGACCACAGGCATGCGCCACCATGCCCAGCTAATTAAAAAAAAAAATTTGGGCCAGGCATGGTGGCTCATGCCTATAAACCCAGCACTTTGGGAGGCCAAGGCAGGGATACCACTTGAGGTCAGGAGTTTGAGAGCAACCTGGCCAACATGATAAAATTCTGTCTCTACTAAAAATACAAAATTAGCCAGGTGTGGTGGCACATGCCTGTAACACCAGTTACTTGGGAGGCTGAGGCACAAGAATCGCTTGAACCCAGGAGGCCGAGGTTGCGGTGAGCCGAGATCGCGCCATTGCACTCCAGCCTGGGTAACAAGAGCGAAACTCTGTCTCAAAAAAAAAAAAAAAATCTTTTTTTTTTTTTTTTTTGGTACAGATGGGGTCTCACTCAGGCTGGCGTCAAACTCCTGTGCCCAAGTGATCCTCCCTCTTTGGCCTCCCAAAGTATGGGAATTACAGGTGTGAGCCACCGTGCTTGGCCAGGTTTTTAAAATTAATTCTTACAGGCCTCTCGCCCACTCTGCACCTCCTGTACCAGCCCCTGTGCTACACTCCTAGCTCCCATTTTCTAATTGTTACAACAGTGAGAAGCAGGCATTATTACAGGTATTGATCGACTTATGACCTATGCAACTTACGACCATTCGACTTTACGACCACAATCGCTAGCCACGACTGTTCTGCGTCTGGCAGCGCAAACGTTGCCCAGCTGGGCGTACGACAGCGCGGACCAGCTTCCGGCAGCACTACCATCTCTGCGTGCATATAGCCTACTCAACTTATGACCAAATCGTGTTACGACCGGTCTGTCGGAACCAATCGTGGTCGTAAGTCGAGCACTAGCTGTATTCCTATTTTAGATTTCGGGAAACTGAGCATTCTAAGAGGAAAGGAGTCTTACCCACACACCTTGAAAATCGTGAGGGCAGGACTCAAACCTAGGCCCGTCTAGTCCAAAGCCCAGCTTTTGCCATGAGGCTGCACTGCCTCAAGATTCCACCCAGAGAAGTCAGAGACAGACAATTCTGAAGGCCAGTCATCTGACCTATGGTCCTTAACCATTACTCCCCGAAGCAAAGAGAAGAAAGAAACAGCAAGGGCAGGATGAGGTTGGAAATCCAGTTCCCGTGACTTGATTTGATGGTGGCTTCCATTCTTCTGTTTCTTTTCTGAGATGGAGTCTAACTCTGTAGCCCAGGCTGGAGTGCAGTAGCGTGATCTCGGCTTACTGCAACCTCCACCTCCTGGGTTCTCCTGCCTCAGCCACCAGGCATGCACCACCATGTCCAGCTAATTTTGTATTTGTAGTAGAGATGGGGTTTCGCCCTGTTGACCAGGCTGGTCTCAAACTCCTGACCTCAGGTGATCCACTGACCTCGGCTTCCCTAAGTGTTGGGATTACAGGCGTGAGCCACCACGCCCTGCGCATTCTTTTTTTCTAATGGCATTCAGGAAAGGAGGCAAAGTGATCTCATGCAGCACAGATCCTATGCGGGTCCCAGCTTTGTTACTTTCAAGCTGTGTGACTTGGGAAAGCCTTCTACCCTCTCTGGGCCTGTTTCCCCTCGGAGTAACTGGGGTGGTGGTAGCTGGATTTTCTGTTTTTCTCTTAGGGGAGGGTATGAAATTACTAATAGGGCTTTAAAGTGTGTGTGTGTACATCCGGGGGACACAGACACACTCCAGCCCCAGTGTCACAAAGTCTGATCCAGCAGGGTGGTGACAGGGTTCTGACACTGACATCTGCATTGAGAAACACCGGGCTCCAGGGGCTGAAGGACCTCCTTTTCCCGGAAATTGCTTATCCGAAAGGTTCGTGACAACAGACAAACATTACTGACTGTTCAACAAACCCGGAAGAGATGATGAGGTGGCCACTGTTTCCTGAGGTTCAAGACGCCAGATAACAGCGGGGTCTAGACTCTGGGGAGGATTTGCACTGTCTGTCAAGGTTCACTTGATATGGGAATTTAAGGTGTATCTCATTTTTTGTATTTGACCCAACAGGCAAGCTGAGGATCAAATTAATGGGCCCAGTGCCCTTGAAGTGCTAAACATGGCTCTTTCCGGAAGGAATTCCAGAGATGTTTTGGGCAGTGGGAGAATTGCTAGGCGGGCACGGGCCTCAAAAGGGCCAGCGCTGAAGGTCAGTCCTCCTACGAGGATGTGTAAACTCCATCCCAAGTGTGCTCCACGTGACCCCTAGCCCTGCTGGGCTGCTGCGCCCTGTTCCTCAGCCCCTCTCTAAGGGAAAAGTTTTCTCATCTTACAGGGGGATCACCGGGCAGACTCCCCAGGTGATCTGTGCCACCTCTTCTTCTTCCCTGGTGTTTCCCAGGACCCAGGACTCTCTCTGTGAGGTCCACAGGGCAGGGGCGCAGCCATTCTTCTTTTCTTTTTTTTTTTTTTTTTAAAGTCAGGGNCAATTCTCCTGCCTCAGCCTCCTGAGTAGCTGGGATTACAGGCACGCGCCACCGTGCCCAGCTGATTTTTTGTATGTTTAGTAGAGACGGGGTTTCACCATGTTGACCGGGATGGTCTAAATCTCTTGACCTCGTGATCCACTCGCCTCGGCCTCCCAAAGTGCTGGAATTAGAGGTGTGAGCCACCGCGCCCGGCCTTTTTGTTTTTTTGAGACAGTTTCACTCTGTGGCCAGGCGCCAGGCTGGAGTGCAGTGGTGCGATCTCTGCAACCTCCGCCTCCTGGGTTCAAGCAATTCTCCTGCCTCAGCCTCCTGAGTAGCTGGGACTACAGGCGCGCGCCACCATGGCCAGCTAATTTTTGTATTTTAGTAGAGACAGGTGTTTCACCATGTTAGCCAGGATGGTCTCGATCTCTTGACCTCATGATCCGCCTGCTTCGGCCTCCCAAAGTGCTGGGATTACAGGCATGAGCCACCACGCCTGGCCTCATTTTGTAATTTATTTATTTATTTATTGGTTTATTTTGAGACGGAGTCTTGCTCTTTTGCCAGGCTGAAGTGTAGTGGCACGATCTTGGCTCACTGCAACCTCCATCTCCCAGATTCAAGTGATTCCCTGCCTCAGCCTCCTGAGTAGCTGGGACTACAGGCGCTGTCACCATGCCCAGATAAGTTTTTTGTATTTTAATAGAGATGGGGTTTCACCATGGTCGGGATGGTCTCTATCTTCTGACCTCATGATCCACCACCTCGGCCTCCCAAAGTGCTGGGATCACAGGTGTGAGCTACTGTGCCCGGCCTCATTTTATCGTTTTTTTTTTGTTGTTGTTTGTTTGTTTTCTTTTTTTAAAGTCAGGGTCTCACTGTGTTACCCAGGCAGGAGTACAGTGGTGTAACTATAACTCACCATAGCCTTGAATTCCTGGGCTCAGGTGATCTTCCTGCCTCAGCCTCCCAAGTAGCTAGGACTACAGGCACAAGCCACCATACACAGCTAATTTTTTTTTTACAATTTTTTTTTTGTAGACGTGGGGTTTCACTATGTTGCCCAGGTTGGTCTCAAACTCCTGGCCCCAACAGATCTTCCTGCCTCGGCCTCCCAAAGCTGTGGGATTACAGGTGTGAGCCACTGCTGTAGCCTCAGCCGTTCTTTAAGACATTACCTCAGGTTGTTGGGCTCTGTAGTTTGACTCTGAGAATTAGCTGCATGGTCTGACTCTGAGAACCACCTGTTCACTTTGATGATACAGCAAAAGCACAGAGATACCAGGGCAGGCCACTTATTTGTGGGACCATCTGCCTCTTTGGGAAACACCTGGGTCTCAGACCTGGGTCTGCCCCACCACCCCAGTGGCCACATGGCCGAAGGGCAGACAGAGACACATGGTCTGCATGCTACTAAATCCTTAGCAACAAACAGGTCAGACTACTCCTTTCTCCAGCCACCATTTCCCTCTTTACAAAGTTGACATGCCATTTCTAAACTTACCACATTTCTCTATGAGCTTCAGGGGAAAAAGGATAAAAATAGTCAGCCAATTCCTTGTCATGTTTCCCGATTTCTCAGAACTAGGAAGAAAAATAGCAAGAGAGAAGTTCACATGACTATTGAATCAGCTCAGCTCCCTGTAGAAAATCTGCCCTCTGGAGCCATGGCATGGGACAGCTCATAAAGGACTCCCACGTCACTGCCCTGACCTCACGGCCTTTGCATCACAGCCTCAGAAGGACACCTACAGATGACTTATCTTTCTTTGCTATACAGGGAAGCAGGCTCAGAGCGGCTGAATGGGTTGTGTAAAGTGCCCTCCTGAGGAAGTGAACACAGACCTGAATTTTCCCCTCTTCAACTGCTTTTTGCCGCTTAGCAGAAAGAAACAATGCGGTTTTACCGGCTTGAGATTCCTTTCCTCCAAAAGTTATTAAAATTGTGGTCAGATATTTGACCTTGTGAACCTACCAATCTCAAGGAAATCAATTTCCTTTCCTATCCTGCGATAAGAGTCTAAGGGCTGATGATATCAACTGACCCTTAAGACTTAAAAAAAAATTTTTCTGTTTTGAGACAGAGTTTCGTTCTTGTTGCCCAGGCTGGAGTGTAGTGGCACCATCTTGGTTCACTGTAACCTCTGCCTCCTGGGTTCAAGCCATTCTCCTGCTTCAGCCTCCTGAGTACCTGGGATTAGAGGCATGTGCCAGCACATCTGGCTAACTTTGTATTTTCTGTACAGATGGGGTTTCTCCCTGTTGGCCAGGCTGGTCTTGAACTCTCGACTTCAGGCAATCTGCCCGCCTCAGCCACCCAAAGTGCTAGGACTACAGGTGTGAGCCACCATGCCCAGCAAGACTTTTTCATTTGACAAGTGTCACCATTCCAGGATTGGCTGGGGTCACCTCACGAGGAGGACTCGGGAAGGGATGAGCCCAGAGCGACTCCTTGGCTTAGCGTGGAAGATGGGGTGCTGCATTCCTGTATCCCCAACACACAGCAGGTGAACTGTGAGTCAACAGCAGGCAGGCCAGCATGGATTTCTGTAGCTTGGTCTCTGCGCTGCCTCGGCACACAGTGCTCAGGTCCTCCCACCCTGACAGCCTCCCAGGGCTCCTGCAAACCAGCCTGGTCAACATGGTGAAACCCCATCTCTACTAAAAATACAAAAATTAGCCAGGTGTGGTGCCTGTAATCCCAGCTACTCGGGAGACTGAGGCAGGAGAATCGCTTAAACCCGGGAGGGAGAGGTTGCAGTGAGCCAAGATAGTGCCATTACACTCCAGCCTGCGCAACAAGAGTGAAACTCTGTTTCAAATTAAAAAAAAAAAATCAGATTGATAATGACATACAAGTAGTGGCTTGTGAAAGCTACAAGACAGAAATAAAGCATCTCTTGACAACAGACTCTGTCTGGCATGCTCTTCCTGTGTAAGTTCTAACTATCTCCCAAGCCTCATTTGGATGTCACATGTTTCAAGAAGCCCCTCACCCATTCAGTCCCTCCCCAGGAGCAACCTGGGGCTGGGGGTATCCTGTGGCAGCTCTCCTCTGCCAGGTATGAGTTGTTAGTCCTGTCCTCTGTTCTACCATCGGGGACTCCCTGGGTCTCCTGCTTCTGGAGAGGGTATACAGGTAGTGGTTAAGGGCTGTGTGCACTGGAGACACGCTTGAACCTGGGTTCCAATTTATGAGTTATGTAACCTTGTGGGGGTAAACAGGGACGGTGGTAACTACCTCATAGGACTTAAATGAGGAGATATAAAGCACGCATTGTCAAGTGAGACTCAAATTGGCTGGGGATGGGTTGGGCACCGTGGCTCACGCCTGTAATCCCAGCACCTTGGGAGGCCAAGGCGGACGGATCACCTGAGGTCAGGAGTTTGAGACCAGACTGGCCACCATGGTGAAACCCCGTCGCTACTAAAAATACAAAAATTAGCTGATCATGGTGGCACACGCCTGTAGTCCCAGCTCCTCGAGAGGGTGAGGTAGCAGAATCACTTGAACCCGGGAGGCGGAGGTTGCAGTGAGCTGAGATGGAGCCACTGCACTCCAGCCTGGGCAAGAGGCTGGAAACTCCATCTCAGTACTGCACTCCAGCCTGGGTGCCATTGTTAGACTCCATCTAAAAAAAAAAAAAAAAAAAAAAAAAAAAAAAAGGAAAAAACTGACTGGGGGTAGGGGGAGGGGGTGGTGAAAACAGCTATTACAATGGTTTGTGGTCACATAAAAAATACAGGGTGTACCAGCGGTATTAAATTTTACGAGGGGGTGGGTAGGAATAGCAAGATTGAGAAACGATGATATAATAAAGTGGCTACCTCTGTTGCTCAGGGCGCCGAGCGAGCTCCCACAAAGCAAGGTTATCCTCCTCGCAGGTACTGGAAGAGGCAGGGCTCAGGTCCTCCCTCCGTCCAGCGTGAAAACCCGGAGGAGAGGGTAGGGTCTCGTCCCCGTGAGCCCCGCACTCCGCGCGTCCACCGGCGCTCCCGCAAAGGTCCTCGCAGCGTCTCCAAAGCAATCTGCAAGACTGAGCAGAAGGGAAGGGCTGGGGACCGCACCCACCCGGCAGCCCGCTGTCCGGGCCTCCACCGACCCCCGCCCGGGCCCTTCCACCCGGGGCGTGTCCGGGGTCGCAAGGCCAGCACTGGTGGCGGGGAACGGAGCCCGGCGCGGCTGAGGACGCTGCACCGCGGGAGGCTGCCCTGCCGACCTGCTGCGCCCCTAGGGGCCCGCCTGGGAGACGGGGGAGGCCGCGCCCGCTCTCACCTGAGCCCCCCAGGCTGGAGGACCCGACCTCGCCGGACGCAGGAGCCTCGCCAGCTGCAGCTCCAGGAAGCGCCGCGTTCCCGGGGCCGGCCGGACTTTGGAGAGGCGGGTCCGCGGTCACCTGACCTCCGCCACCTGATTCGCCGATCGCGGCGAGGTGAGCTCTGGGATTTGTAGTTTCCACGCGTCTCGGCCAGGCAGAGCGAGGCTGGGGCGGGGCGGGGTTCGGGGCTCGGGCGTGAGGCAGCATGAGGCCGCTGCCGGGGACACACACAGAGGCTCTTGGAGCCTCCAGCGCCTCTCGGTTCCTTTAGTGAGAGGGGCTCAAACCGCGCTCCAGTGCGCGGAATTCAGAGCCCTGCGGGGCGGGGCCTCCTTTAAGTCCCGCCTTCCGCCGCCTCTCCGCCTATAGCGGGGCTCGCCTAGAGGGCTGCGTGGAAGCCCGCCTCCTCCTGCCAATGGGAAGACGAGAAACCGCCAAGTTCGATGTGACTGAAAGTTTGGCGGGCGAATCCCCGCCCCTTCCCCGCCCTCCCGGGTGAAAAGCGCGGACTGGGGTAGTGGGGCGGCTGGCTGCCTACAGGAGCTGTGCGGGTGGCGGCGACCATGGCTGCGCGCCGGATCACCCTCGGCATTGACCTGGGCACCACTTCTGTGAAGGCAGCTCTGCTGGGAGCCGCGCCCGACGATCCATCAGGATTCGAGGTGCTGGCGAGCTGTGCTCGCGCTGCGCGGGCAGAGGCGGCGGCCGAGAGCGTGGTGGCCGAGCCCCAGGTGAGGTAGCGCCCCGGGGCCGCGCCGCCTCCCGGAGCTTCCTGAACGCCTCTTCCTCCCCAGGAGGTCTCCCTGACAGCCCTTCCCTCCAAGAAGTCTCCATTCCAGCCTGTCCCCAGCTTCTCCAGGGGCCCCTCTCCCTGTGCCTGCTGCAGCTTTGCTCATGATCCCTGCGGTCTGCTCCCGGAATCCTTCCCACCTGCTGGGACCTAACCCCCGCCCCCACTCTCTGGGCTCCTCCGGACCCTTGCGCTTGGCGCTGGATCCCTGTGCTCTCCTGTCCCCGACCTCGGAGGAACTGCCCCCCTGTGTGTGGAATGACACAGGCCTCCCTCTCACTCGGTGCTCTCTGCTCCTCACACCTGCCCTGTGACCTCAAGTTCAGGACTCAGTGTGTTGCCCAGGGCAGAGTCCGTGTTTTCTTTCGGAGATCAGAGGCAGAATCAGGTTCATTTCACAGACGCAGAGTGAAGGACTAAGAAGCCCTTGGTCAGCCAAAGTCCCCCAGCCTCAAAGGCCGAGACATGTTGCAGGAAAGACACCTTAAGAGCAGATAGACATTTAAAAAAATATCTTAAAACTTTTTTAAAAAGAGTGAAGTTGATAATTATACACTACAGCTACTGGCTTGTGAAAGCTACAAGGTAGATAAATGGACGATTTCAGGATCGTGGGCTCTGTTGGGAGCTGTTGGAAGATGTTACTCTTCAGAGCTGAACCCCCTTAATTCCTTAAAAAGGAAAACTGAACTGTGTTCAGTTAATTGACAATAG